ATAGGATTTTCAGATAAACATGCTCAGGCTAGATGGTGGGCATGTTCTCCTGCCAAAAAACAACTGAGGCCATGAATCCAAACAAGACAGGATTATCTCAGTATTTGCTTTACAGGGGATATTATTGAAGTGTATCCAGAGGCTGCTCTCAAGATAAAAACCAATGTTCTACCTCTTGATTCTGTACCTGTACTTTAAGACAGCACAAAAGCTGGCTAGGAAGGCTAGTTAAGATGTAGAACCAGGAGCCAGGAGATCCGAGTCCCAGTCCCAGCTCTGTGGCAGACCTGTGATGGGATGGGGAGCAATTCCCTCCCAGTTTCCAGGCCCTGGCATCTCTGCCTGTTGGACGGTGAGTTCCACACCTGCTGCAGAGGGGGTTTGTGAGGCAGAGTTAATTGAAGTTTAAGTCCCATAGAATGGTGCTATGGTAGCACAAAGCATATTATCTATTTCTGTGCTTCCATGTGGTGAGACTGATCAGTCCCAGGTCTTGTAGCAGTTTTAAAAAAGCATTAATGGATTTTATTTTTTTTTAACTGCACCTTCTGTTGCACATGGGACTGCTCTTTAGGGCTCTGTCTAGTCCTGTTGAAGTCACAAGAGTTTTTTTCTGACTCCAACAGGATTTGATTAAGAGTCTTCTCAACCATCTGAGATGGAGGATAAACGTTCTCAGAGGGGTGGAGAACTAGAAATAGTTCTAACCACATTTTTAAGTTGCCTCAGGTAGGTACAGACCCTAATACACCCTGTATTTGGGCTCATATGAGTGCTCCCAATCTGCATTCCCACAGAACCAGGCAGGACTGATGGTAGGACTGCTGAAAAATAGTTGAGATAATTCAGCTGACTTTGTACCAAAGTGAAAAAGGGGCACTTAAATGATTCCTCAGCCTAACTCCTTGGCATGATGGTAACTCTCAGCAGGAGGAGAGGTAACTTTTGAAACAGGTCCCTTTACATCCTGAAAGAGGGAGCTGTATTTAAAGTGGCAGTTTGGAAACCTCTGCGAGTGTATCAGTGTGTAGTCAGAAATCTCAACTATATGAGAGAGACAATAGGAATAAAAGGATAACTCAACAGTTGTAGCTTAATTTTATGTCTATGCATTAAGTTAATCAGGTTTTCTATAGCAGTGCCAAATTTTTTTTTGTGGTAGTCATTCAAAGGTTTTCCCTCAGCACCCTTAGCTGGTGATCTTTGGGATGTCTGGGCCCTGCTCTCCCTGCTTGGCTGGAATCAGCTACCTGCTAAACCCATTGCTAATCCCATCCTTAGCAAGGAGTACAGGCCAGCTAAGAAACAGTAAAATGAGCTTTTTTAAAAAAGAAATAAAATTGTTTTTTATTTTTTGATGTATTTATAGGTTAAGCCCAAAAACTGGCTAAAGCTTCTCATTTAAAAAAAATTAATAAAAACCTTTGCAATTCTACTGTTACCCCTAAATCAGTTTCATTTAGTGCTAAACCTTCCCTCCTCTTTGCTCCCCCCAAGTAATTTTTATTCTAATGCTGCAATAAATATTAATGCCTTTCCCAGATGCAACCACTTGAAATACTTATGTATATATAGCGACCTACCAAATACTTCATGCAGATGCCCAGTTGCAGCTAAAATTTGACTGGAGAAACTTTGAAAGGAGCAAAAGAGACTTGTGGTTCCACTAGAGGAAAGATTAAAATTCTTGTGTATGCATCTAAATAAATCTAAATCTGGGGTGATGGGAGGGAAAACTGTCTTAGTGCAGCATAGCCAGTGAACTCCAAAGAACCTACAGCCACCTTAGCACAGGCAATATATGTGATTCCTGCCACAATGCTTAAATCCTGAGAACCAAAGCCAGCCCTTCGAAAAGTGAGATGAGGATTTACTGATGCCCATGTTGTGACCTCTTAAAGGCGCACATTTTTTTAGGAGATGAGATGCTCAGAAATTCCAGAAAATCAGGCACCTTGAAGTTGTATGAAGTGGGACCCCCTCAAACTGTTGTTGGTTATGTATTCTGGGTGAATACCCCAAAGCTTTGTGCATTTGGGGGCTGGATGCTGCTTATTGCAAAGCAGTCGGTGAGGAGTAGAGTGCTCGGTGTCTTGTAGGAGGCAGGCAGCTCAGAGAGGAGAGTTTTGATTTCTCTGTATTCTTAATGGACAATAAGAAATCCAAGTTAATTTTCACATATGCTGATTTGCACTTGCTGGGGGTCTGAACCCCAATTTTGTGCTGACATTTAGCAGAAAAATATGAGTTTAGTTCATTGCCCTGCAGTGTTGTGGGGTTCAGTCACGGACACTGTTCCTCACTCCTTTAGAGTCTGAACCTTTCCGTACCCGCCTTGCTGGGGTTTGTGTAACACAGCACCACGGAATCTTCGCCTGTCCCAAAGTCACTTCAGCTCACACAGCGAGTTCTCTTCCAGACACCTCTCTTTGCTCCAGTTTTCTTCATTCTGTAGCTCGTCTTGATCATTTTTCTCATCTAGACAAACAAAAAGCAAGCATTTAAAAATTGCAAAACTGAAACCGGACAGTTTCCCCACTGATTTGATCTTTTATTTTTCCTTGAAAGTAACAGCTTCCCGTGGATTTTTGTTTGCAGTTGTCCTCCAGAATAATCAGTTAGCCTGCAGCTCATCGATTTTCACGTGAAAGTTACTTGCCTTGGTTTCATTATGTGGTTTGGTTCCGTTCTGCAGTTTTCCCTTCCACAGGTAGATCTCAGCAGCGTAAGCTCTCTATGGATCTGCAAATATCATTATTTTTGTTTTGTATCTGTAAGAAGAGGGCAGGGTAAAAAGGAGTGTTTGTGAGTAACGCTTCTGGCTCAAATTCTCCTATGCATCTTTGAGTGTGTCTGCACGCACAGCGATTTTCCTTCTGAAAACATTCTTAGATGTTAAAGATAAAATCTTGTTTACTGAAACCCTCAAAAGAGGTCACAGGTCTTAGCACGAGGAGTCAATAGGACTTATTTGATAGAATATATTCACTCGGTGCTGCTCCTGAGGCACGAAGTTCTGTGGGATTTTCAGTCCAGAATACAAGGAGGTGACCAGGGCTCTGTTCACAGAAGTTGCCCTCTGCCAGCCGAGCACCGACGAGCTCCTCAAGTCAGAAACATGAAGGAATGGTGGAGACAAAAATAACAGTTTGTAAAAGGCACGTGCAGAGAAAATAAATAATTTAGATATTTTTAAAATGTCTGTGTGAGATACAAGGAGAAACGGAACATTTTAAGTCCAAAAGCTCCCTGGAAGGCTGCGTTTGGTGGCCGTCATTTTATACGAATTTATGTGGGTCTTTTTTTTTGTGGGTTCGATTGTCGAGAGGTTTTCGAAGGGTTTTGTTTGTTGAAGCAACACATAAATGGATCAGATCCTTCAGTATTTCTTTGTAGGTTTGGGGCAGAGGGGAGAGAAATACCATGCTGTAAGTGATGCAAAGAAAGTAGCAACAGCGATGGAGAGCGGGTTCTGCTTTATTGTCTGGCGTTAGGACTGTTTTGGTGGTTGTTGTTGGTAAACCCTAGGAAATATACATCTTTCTCCTTTAAAGTTCTAATTCAAGGCATGAATGTGTGAGTTCTGAAGGGACTTAGGGACTGCGGTAAAAAATCGTTGTCATAGTAACAGAAAGGGAAATAGGCCTGGCTCACCTGGGACTTTAACTTACTGCAAAAGCGGATTTTTTTTTTTAAGGAAAGCACTCAGCAAGAGAAATAAATAAATAAATTGTTCTTTGTATTCTGAATCTATTCTTCAACTATTTATTTTTTCTTCTGTCTAAATCTTTTTCCTCCTAAATCTTCTTTAAAGTCTTGGATTTTTTATTTAAAAAATTGTAACTGTTGCAGTTAAACCCGTTTTGTCCAACAAATGGGAATGAAAAGAATCACAGAAAATATTTTCACTTGCAATAGAGGATGCCAAAAAAATTTCTTGCCTGTTATGTCTGAATTTTGAAGACATGCTTGTTTTGTTTTCTGTCCAAGAGCTTTGGTTTTTAATCTAGTTAGTTTCTTTACCTCTGAAATTCACAAATTTTATCAGGTTAATCCGATAACAAAGGGATGAATCCTCTCCTCCCTGAAGTTGACACAAAATTCAGTGGAAAAGCTTATAGAAAAATGCCTGCCTACTATTTCTGAACAGTAAACTCTCCCTGCTCTAGTGCATAGTGTTGGGTGAGCCAATCAAGCATGCTGAAGATTCAACTTGTGTACTTGACAAGCTAAACTCCACAGCATAATAACACATAAAGATAGGCATATGTGACAGGGCAAAAATAATTGGCACGAGAACTTTGTACAATGTTAATAGGTTTATCTGCTTGGACAGCATGAGCTGTCATGTATGACTTCAGGTTGTGTTTTTGTTATCCTCTCTCAAAATCTCTGTAAGATTATAATCTGGAGCCGTGGCAGTTCTGCCTCTCTGCGTTAGTAACTAAAATCTTAATAACCAAAAACATCGTCGTGAGGAAACCTCATCAGCTTCTTCTGGGAGCTGTAGTTGTTTCTGGGTTTTAATATGTTCTAAGTAGTTTTGAGGCTTATCTGCTTCAGAGTTGCCCTGTTGGTCTTTGTCATTTTTACAATAACATTGTGCTTTTGTATTGTTTCACGGAAAATCCTTTCAGACAGCAGAAGAAAGTCATTGTGTGCGAGGGAGAGAGAAAGAAAGAGACCAAAACGTGTGGTCAAACACAGAGTGAGGGAAGGGGTGTAAATCAGAGTGGGTATGTGGACTTACACCAGCTAGTAGCCCGGCTCAGAGCACGTTACAGTAACATTGGTTGTACTTTACCTGAGTTTTTTTTTAAACTCTCTGTTAGGGCTGGTTTTTGTTTGTTTTTTTTTTGGTTTTTTTTGGTACATTCTTACAGTCCTGGTCTACTGACACACCGTCGTGTAAAACACTGTGCTGTATACTTTAAAACACAATATAAACCTACACACTTTGTTATGGTTAATAGAAGTGATGTGTTTTTTTATCTTTCCAGATTCTTCTTAAAATTTTTTCTCAAGTGCAATCAGAATTGCTTGAAAACAGCAGGAAACCCAAGAGATATGAGGCGGTTCCAGGTAAGTCTTTTCAGGCTCAGCATTAACCTGTCTGCTCTTTTTCTTCTTTTCCTTCTCCCTTTCCTCGCTCCTCCATTGTTCATATTAAATATGATGACAGTGTATGATCAACCATATCAGATATTGGTAAAGTTTTTCTCTATTTGTTGTGTTTAGACCTTTTTCCTCCCCCTTTTCCTCTTCTTCCACTCTGAATCCCCAAGGGGAAGTGAAGTACTGTACCAACCAGCAGTGGATATTTGATTTGACACCCTCGGGCAAAGCACTCGCACATACAGCTGCCCACAGCAGGGATCATGTTTGTGATACTTAGATGCCTCTGAATTTTTCAAAGTAGCTCTGTACGTGGTACACAAGCAGTCTCCTCATTTTCCATCCACTCCTATCTCTTCCTTTGCCTTTTAACACTCTCATGCCCTTCCTTTCCGCTTCTTTAAAAACAGAAGCCAAAATAGTGATGGTCACTTTAAGATCTCACTCAGCAAAGGAACAAGACCCATGGGACAATGACCCAGCTGCTTTGCAGTGAAATCTGCCACTGGTTTCATCATAGTTGTCGCTGATGTATTGTGAATACCAGCTAATAAAAACACAGAAGGAGGTGAAGTGTGTCACTGGTGAGGAGAACGGCAGACATAGTCCTCTCCCTTTCATACCCTAACCTTTTAAGCAGCGGTGTTTAATAAGTATTTTACCTGTAGCTTAGCCCTCACAAAAATGTCCAGGGGATGCTGAAGCCTGTGGTGCCCTGGGTGTGCTGTGCCCTCTCCCTGTGGCACGGCGGGGAACGCGGGCAGCAGCGATGCTGGAGGAGCTCTCGTGCAGTGCAGAGGGAGGCAGCACAGTCCAGCCAGAGGGATACTGGTTCCAAGTCAGCTGGTTGGACTCATTTCTTGGGTGACCTTTGATGAGCCATTTTTTGTTTCTTTTAGTATATATTTCCACCTCTCCAAATGGGTTGCTCACCTTGATAAAGCTTTGTGGTCTTGACTCAGGAGAGCATTTGAGAAAGTGCCTGTGTCCTTTGCCAGCCCTTGAATTCTACCCATGAAAACCAGAACTATCCTTGTAAATGCTGCTTGTTACCATTAGTATTGTGCCTTCACTGTGACACACCCCTGATACAAATTGGATTTTACCTTATTGAGGGTTGGGTGGTTTTCTTCTAGACTGACCAGACTTGTATTGGGAAGGTGACATCCTTCGGTTTGGCGATTCAGGTTTCATTGCTTGGGTACTTGCATCAGTTTCCTCATTTATAAATGAAGTTAAAACTTCACAGGAGTTTATGGAGTTGTTTAAAACTTTCCACCAAAATATGTTTTCACTGGCAAGTGATTTTTTTTTTTTTTTTTTTTTAACTAGCAAAGAGAAATTTACAGGAGGGATATTTTTATTAAAAAAATTTAAATATATTGACTTTAAAGAGAAATACTGCAAAATGAAAGCTCCTGGAAACTCCAAAAATTGTAAAGAAATGTAGGCAGAAAGTATAAAAGAGTAAGGTTTTATTGTTTTGAGTGGAAATAAATCTAAATTTCTGGCCAACTTATTTTTTAGTGGTTTAAAGAGGCTGCAGTTGACTTCTTCATCCTGTGTTTTTAGAGGTGATAAGACCTGAGAAAAAGGAGGTGCTCATTGTTAGGAAATCTGTGCCGATTTTTTTTCTTCAAGTGGCAATTCCCATAAAGAAAGAACACCAATTAGCTCTCATCTGCCAAGAATGCAAAAAAATCTGGGAGTGAAGGAGAACTCAGTTTATAGGATGTAAACAGATCTCGTTAGCTCTTCTTAGAGCCAACTGGAATAGCTGATTCTGGAATTTAATGAAACATAAATACAGAGTTTCCCTTTTTTTTGTTAGGAGTTTGTAAAAAATCTTGCACATGGGTATCCTGATGAGCACGCGGGGATTCTAGGAACCACCATACTACAGATAATACTGGTTGTAACAGCCAAAATAGAAATTCTGGACCCAAACATACCTGAACCCTAAGGACATTCAGGTCTGATTTCAATCTCACTATGATGAGTGAAACTGAAATCCTAGATTTTGATCATGTGCTGAACTGCAGGAGGATTTTGGATCTAAATTTTTTGGCAGAAATCTCTGTCTGGTATCAGCCTCATTCTTGGTTTCACCTTTGTATCTCCACACCCAAAATGGTGATGATCTAGAGCCAAAACAGCTTCAAATTTCCAGCGAAACACTGAACAGGGAAATTGAAATGGGTCTTGCAGCATCCCCGTGGTTACTGATGGAATGCCTCATGCCTTCAGCACATCCACCGCTTGTATGTGAGAAAGTACAACCTTGCTTTTGATCTTTGTACCAAAATCAGCAGCTTATTGGAGAAGAAAAAGAGCTGGGATAGACTCTTCATCTGGGTTTTCTACCTCACAACATGCCAAGCTGGAAAAGCAGAGCCAAGTGAAACTCTCTGGTTCTGTTTTGCAGGGCTTACTTAAACTCCTTCTCACTCCCAGGCCATGGGAGTTCAGACCCTGTGAGTTTCAGTGCAAGATTTAAGTTCAAACCCCAGAATTAATCAAGATCAGACAAAACCACTAGGTTTAGCTGACTTTTTGTTAGAAACAACAACGATGAGAAGACTTTTTTTCAGAGTGAAAAAAATGAACCCTTTGAGATTAATTGCAGAACACTTGAGTGGAAGCAGGATCTTGGTTCAGGCTTGTTCCAAACTGGACGCGCTGGTTGCTGAGCATTGTTCTGGGCTACAGAGGTCAGTACGTATAAAAAAAGATACAAAAAGTAGTTCAATTGCTAAAATTTTACACATTGGGAGTAAAAAAAGCTCTGTGTTCCAAAGGAAAATTAGCTGTGATGAACTGTAAAGATAATAAGCAAAGACAGCTTGTTTTCTATCTGCCTCCTTGTTTCTAAGGATAGAAGCATGACTTCCCTGAGTGCCACCCCAGCTAAGAGTGCTCCTGAATGCTCCACTGCCTCTGTCTTCTGGATCCTCCTTTTATTTTTGGTGGATTTGTTTGTTGCCTTCTTTGTTTGATTGGTTTGGGGTTTGTATTTAAATTTGGGTGAACTCTTTTTTACCTGCTGCTTGTTGCACATGGGCTGTCAGCTGCCCTTAACATCAGAAGTGGGGACAAAAAGATAGATTACCTCAAATATTAGTGGTGTGCTTGCACACTGTGAACATGTTCATTTGAATTGTTAAGATTTCCATCAGGCAAAGTAATTAATGTGCAGGACTGTTTATTGGGTTTGAAAGGACAGTTGTTCATCTTACCAGTACAGGAACATGTGAGCAGGGTCTCATAAAAGCAGGGTCAAAAAGCACAGTGCAGTAGGGCCCTGTATTCATTTTATGATTTAATTCATTATGTTTTATTCTTGGGCCACATCTAAAACCTTTACTGTTTTTTTCCCAATAAATTATTTGTACAGCTGTTGTTTTTAAGGCCCTTCTCCTTCCAACATTTCCACACATTTGACTTCCCTTATGCAAACAGACTTTCTGCAGCGATGCTCAGCTGAGTATCTTTTAATTTGTACTTATGTTTTTCTGCAGAACCAAATGTATTCATTTCACTGGAGCAGTGCTTGTCAGATCTCCAGGAGATATTAAGAGACTTTTTTTTTAATGGTTATTAAAAAAGTAAAAAAGCAGAAGAGAGAATCCTTGTATCAAAGTTCCCATTTAAATTGCTACCAAAATCTGGAACTGAGATGGTCACAAAAAACATTTTGGCTCTTTAATGGAGATGGAATGAAAGCCCAAAACTCAGGCTTTGTTGTTGAGACACAAATATAAATAAGAGACATGGAAATAGTGCTGTATAGTGCATCTTATTGAGTTCTTCCAGTGTGGAAGAATGGTTACTCATGTCTGGAAAACTGTCAAGTTAATGCTTCTGATTAGAGATGGGTGTGAAGCGACACAGTTTGGGCTTGGTTTGGCTGATCACCAAAGTTCCAGGGCGTTGGGATCCTGTCTCTGAGCCTGGCCTCAGCCCCACTTTTAGATAGAAGATTTAGATATTTTATAGTACAGTTACAATATATTAAACTAAATAAAATATTAGAGTTTACTTATATCACACTTTTTTTTTTTAAAAAAGGGGGCGAGGAGAAAAAGGGATGGAAAAGTGACATTAACACAGCATTGTAAATTTAATACCACTCTAGATGCCTGGAGAGGTGTTTTTTTAGTATAATTCTTGAGTTTAAAAGATGTGTGATCATTGTTTTAGTGCGGGTTTTTTCCCCAGTAGTAACATAATTTTATTGTGAATCACTCTCTACCTCCATGTCTGTCAGTGGCTAAAGCAGGGAAAGGGAATATTTCTAGAAATAATGGATATTTTCATGGGTACTTGATGGCTGCCCAAAGAAGGATGCAGATCAAATAATATGTCCTTGTGAAATTAACTGGACAAAATATTGATTATTTATTAGTTAAAATATTTCTGTATAAGGATTCCCAGTGGAAAACTGAAACTAAAAGGTTGCTAAAATCACCTCTTCCAACCATAGTGCTATTTGAGTTCAGCTGATCTGCAAGTCTGAGTTTACGTGGGCATTGTCATTTCTGTCATAGCTGCATTCTCAGCGAGTGATTCTCCCAGGAACAGAATACAAAAAATAAATATGATGCCCTCTATTTAATGAGGACTTCTCCTAGAGAACTTGATTGAAGCCCGATGATACTTAACGGTAACGACCGGTGTGTAATGGGGGACAATAATTCTGTGGAATTAAGATGAGGCACTTCAGCTAAAATGCTTCAGCAGAGACCTGGTGCTAACAGATTAGACTCCTGTTGACTGGGAATTCTGCTTCATCTAGGATCATACTGATTAAAAAGATCCTGCACTGCCACGGTGACGGGAGTGGCCGAGGAGCAGAACATCAGTACTAACAATGGTCATCTTTGAACCAACGGGCTCTTTTAGAAACAAAAAGAGAAAGGTCAACGGTTGCCCTCTGTTTTCAGCAGAAATCATGACATGGAATGTTT